TTGACAAGGAGAAGAGATTCTCTTCCCATTTGACTGACTTTCCTCTCTGCTCTCTCTCTGTTGAGTGCACAGGGAGAGAAGGGGCCAGTCCTGCTCTGCACCACGAGGTCAGGGTGGTTGTGGCTCCTCATTCCTCCAACCTCTGCAGCCTGTTCAAAGCAGCATCTGTGGGCACTGATATTAAGTGGGCTCTACCTGGAGTGAGACAGATGGGAAATTTGGTTTGTTTGTTGTAATTATTGAGCTGATGAGTCATACATGTTGCTTGAAAGAAGGTAAGATTTCAACATGATGAGTGTCTCAGCTGTCACTGACTCTAATTAATCTGTTGGGAAAAGATTGAGACCTGCAAGTAAAAGTACAGCTGCTCAGGAAACACTGTTAAAACCTTCCTGCATTCTCTGTTCTGCTACAGGAAACAATCCATCCAACAAGTTAATTTATGAAATAACTTCAGGTTGCTTTGCTTCCTTACCTGAGCCCAAGCTGTACAAAACAGCAGCAGCATTTCTGAGACCATCTCAGAACTAAAGGTGGGGTGCAGCTGTGAGCAGCTTTGTGATACCCCCGGAAATAAAACAGATTTGTGAGTTTGGATGGGACAAATGCTTGTGGTGGTGATGCTTGTGATATTTTTCTTATTAAACAAAGAGAGAAATTCTTAAGTCATTTGTGGTGAAGAATGCAAAAAAGTGCGGTTTTGTTCTAGAATCCCTAGACAAAACTCTATGTCTTGCTGTCAAGCTCACCTTGACTCTGAAAACAGACCAGCAAAAAAATTGTATTAAGGTAGGATGATTTCACATTGGTTAATGTTCTCACATGCAAAACGATGATCTACTGTTTAAAAATGAAATTCTGATTATAGTAATGATTCCTTTCAACAGCTGTAGAGGTGATAGCATTTTAAAAACCTTTAATGCTGAAAGAAGTTATAAAGAATGTCTCTTTATTTCTCCTCTTTTTTTTTTTTTTTTGGTCTATATATGCTATAATAAATCATTTGAATGCCAACTATTTGGTTGTGGTGATATTTATAGCACAGAAAATTTATTATCTTTGGTAACAATTGTTTTTTCTAATGGTTTGTCTAATTCTGTTTCTTTTAACTTGGTATTGCTGGGAGAAGCTCAGGCCATTGTCAAAAGCAGAGGCAGAGAAAGAGCAGTTTCTGATAACTGCTGCCTTTGATGTTCCTGTTCCATATTCCAAGAAGCGTGCACAAAGACTATACCTTTGTGCTCTCAGTAATTTACAATAACCAACATAAGGTTCAGTATGCTGGCAAGCAAAATGTAATTTATTTTGCTCTCTCAGAGAAAGACTTTCGATGTATGATGTGTTATGGTTACTGGATAAGAGGATCAGGGCTTGGTGTGATTTATATATACTCTCACTAACGTTTTGCCATTTTTTTCCCGTATATGGAAACTGTGAGGATAAAGAGGGAAGATTTGAAAACTAAAGAATATACTTTTGATCTCCAGGGAAACGTGCTTTCAGATAAAAGACTCTTTGCTGCCCCTTTTTACCAACACAAGTAAGACTGGCAAAAATGACTGTACCCAGAGAAGATGGATGGATCTGCTGGTTGCAAACATTTCATCTAGAGATGATATATTGTGCTAACGCTGGTTCTCTGTGAAACAGCAGGGTAATGTGCTCTTTACTTTCCTTTTTAGTTAGAGCTGGTGCTTGAGGCAAAAGGCAGCTCTTGCTGTGAGCACAGCATTGATGTCAGGGGTCTGACAAGAAGCCAACAGCTCCCGTGTTGCTCTGAGGCTGCTGTGGGAGAGGGTGGGCAGCAAAGCTCTGTCAGGGTGGGGACCAGCCTGGCCTTTTGCTCCCTTCTCTTCAAGGCATTATGCAAAGGTCTGGCAGAAGGAACACCAGTAAGGACAGGGACAGGAAGCCAGCGGTGGCAGCTTTCTGAATCAGCCCTGGTTAGCCTAAAATGAATTTTTTGGAAGCCTCAAAGGTCTTTACTACACTGCTGTTGTTGTAAAGATGAGCATAGTCCCAGTGATAAGAAGCCTTTGTGGAAAAATAAAAGAGCTTGGTTCCTTCATCTTTTTGGCCATAAAATCAAGGGAAAGTTACAACAGGCCATTGAATCCCAGCTAAAATTTTTCCCCTGGGATCTGTTCCAATGGAGAACACGCAGAAATTTGCAACCAGATAGATTGTCTCTCAAGTCTGTCCAGCTTGAACTTGGATAACTCAGGAAAGGAAAGAGACCCACAATGCTACAACAAGTTTTAGTTTTGAAATTGCAGAACTCCTTGTGCAAAGAAAATATAAGTACAATGGAACTGAATTCAATAAAGAAGAGCTGTTGTAGGGGTTGTGCCTGAAGCAGGACTCCACAGCTCCACAGCTTTATTAACAACAAAGAGAGCACAGCCAAGACTTTTTAAATGAATGTCTGATGCCACAGAAGGGCAGTGAGGAACATTGCTCAGAGCATTGCTTGTAAGAAGATTTGCACTTCTGTCTTTCTCTTTCCTAAACTCCATAGTAACTAGGGAAAGAGACATATATTGTTTTATTGTGAAGGAAATTAAAACAGGCTCTGACTTGGAGGAAATCTTGCAGAGGAACCAGAAAGACCGCCTTGACCTTGCTTGTGTTTGTGGATTCAAGGGTCTCCCTAAGGTAAAAGGTACTTTTGGGAAGAATTGGGGAAAACTTGTACAATTCTGTTCCTTGGTCTGAGCAATGTAGTGGGTTGTGCTAGACACAAGACTAGAGCTTGCTTAGAGCAAAGGAAGCATGCACCATGTTGTGCTTCAGAAATGGGAACACACCCTGTCCCCTCATCTCCCCACACCCACCACAGGATCAAAGCTTGCCCTTAAAAGTGGCCTGTAATAAGGCTCTGGTTGCTGACATTTCTGGTTTTGCTATTTATTTCTGGCATCATTCCCTTGGGCTGAAAGACTGAGGTACAATCTGTGTTTTGACAGACTTGGTTTTTATTTCTCATTGAAGTAAGTTTGGAAATGGGCTGCTTCTTTCCATTGTTTATAACGAGTGGGGTGGTTCTCTTTTGTGCTGTAATTGTATTTCTTTCTGCACTGGTTATCAGGACTGCATTTTGGATTTATTCACACAGCACACATTTGTCATTGGTTTTCAGCAACATAAATATATGGTGACAAGAATGAGGTCCTTCAATGTGAAGGAGGAGGTGATGACTTATAATGATTTAATGTAATGATTTAATCTTTAACAGACTGGGCTAAAGGGGTGAGTCTTTACCAGAGTAAGTGAATAAATGTGATGTTTAAATGGAGCACTTGTGCAATGAAAACATGCTCACCTTTCTTCTGGAGGCTTTAACCTTTCAGGACCAGTTTAGCATATGCTGATGTAATGCTGATCCATCAGAATCTGCTGTCTTCAGCACCAGAAAAGAGATACTGGTCACATGTGGCTGCTGACCTTGTCATCTCTCTCACAAGTTAAATGTGAGCTTAAGAATGATGTACTTCTCTCTGCCCTTAAAAGCCAAATGGCTACAACTTTAATATTTTTTTTCTTACATTTTTGAATGCGGATAAAAGCCTGAAACTTTGGCCTCAGTGTACACAAGAGATATGAAATTAAAAAGGCATAAAACAATACTCACAAGTATTTAATTTCAACTCTTTTACCTGGTCCTTTTTCTTTTTGGGGAAGGGGAATTGGTGTAGGACAGTTTTCAGTATTTGAGGTTGACAACACTGTATTTTACAGATCCCTGGAGTAATTACCTTGTTCCTTTTACCGTCTTTGTTGAGCACTGAAATAGCTGGGGTGGATAATTATTATAGAAGCAGAACTGGGCAGTTAATATGTGGTTGCTTCAAGCTCTTTGCAACTCGAGTAGGCATTACTGCATAGGTTATATTTGACTCAGATTTTGAAGGTTACCTTCACATCCTATGAGCACTAGAGACCTTTCCTCCCCAGCTTTTGTTTTACAAAAGGCTTTTTAAAACCCTCAAAACACTCAGGAACTTCAAATTTGAAGTGGGGGATTTGGGTTTGTAGTTTTTCTTCATGAAGGAATCCTTGTCTTGTAAGGAAAATGCTAATATATATTGAATCTGGTGTCCTACTGTACAAAAGCAGGTAACATACCAATAGAGCCTGGCTTCTTCAGTCAAGTTGTCAGTAGCTAAAACGTTATGCCATGAATAACATGCCATGGAATAACAGAAAGTAATTTAACAACAGCCTTTCAGCCTGCAGGATACACACTTCCAATCCTGCATGCTGGCTCTCTTTTCTGGTTCAGGTTTCAAGGTGATAAGTGCTTTTTTAACACCAGTAGAGGGCAAGATGAAGGGAGGGGTGGGTGTTTCAGCAGCAAGGTGTGGTGCAGCCTCCAGTTCTGTGATCTTTGGGTGATGGCTCCGAAGAGCAAGATCAGCTTTATTGCTGGACTGAGGATTTCACTGGCTGATATCTGTAGGGATCTTGGGAAAGCCACTTGGAAAATGTTGTAATGCAGAAAACGCTGGAATTGAATCTTTGCATCCAGATGGCAAGTGGTTAAAAGAGCTATTTGCATTTGCTGCTGCTGTTATACTTCATTAGAGTGAAATCAGTCCCAAGGATCACAATCACTTGTGCAACTGCTACTTGTTTGTTCTGAGGCAAAAAGAGCCACCAGAAAAATTGTTTTGCCAATGCAACTCAGTCTGTACTCTGGGATTTTATTGACAAAGTTCTATATCAGGGCAAAACAGTGTCTGTAAGGAGTACCAGTAGTGCAGGAAAAGTATCACAACCTGCAGAAGAGAAGTGTGTGAATTTAGAGCAGTGACAGAAGTATCCTTCACTCACCAGTGAGGCCCAGCCATGTGCAGAAGTGCTGGTGATTGATTTTAATATGAAATCAGAAGTTGACTGTTATGGATGTCAACACAAGAACTGGTTGAGCATTCCCACAAACATATTTCTGAGAGGAAATGACGTGGGTCATGTGTATTGGAAACAAAACTCAGAGCATCTTTTGAAACGTTTGCAGATTTATTTATCTAAAGGCAAACAAAACAGATCAGGAAATATCTCAGCTCTTCTGTGTCTCTTTCTACTTGTTAAAGGATAGCAATAACAATAACAATAACCCCAGGAAAATCTGAAATGCAGATATTAAAAATAATAAGCACTGTTTCAAATGTCTGAAGGATTTTTCAGAGTGTTTTCCTGGCTGGGTAATTCTTTCCTTTCCTGAGCTGGCTGGAGCACAGCCCCTGCTGCGCACACTCCATCTTTTCCAGGCAGCAGTGCTGTGAACACCTTGGGTTTGTCACCCCGAGCCCACAGCAGTGACACTTCAATCCTCTGTGCTTCCCTGAGTGTCGCAGTGCTGATGTAGGACACTTGAATTCCCTGCAAACCAGCCACCCAAGGGCCTCCCAGGCACACCTGCAGCTCAGGCTGAGCAGGGAAAGCTGGGTTATGCACATCCTTCTTCCTCAGTGTCCACACAAGAGCAAACAGCCTCGGGCTGCTTGTGATCTCGGGTCCTGCCTCTCCTGTGGATCCACATCCTCTCAATTGCTCTTCACATCTGCACCCAATCCGAGCTTGCACACAGCTGTGGGGTGATACCTGCACCATAAAGGGCAGAAGGTGCTCCTGATACAGATGTGAAGTTTACAAGAGCCAGGACAGAATTAAAGATGTTTATGGTTTTGGTTTTTTTCCCACTGAAGTTGAAAGCTGTGGCTCTGAACTCTGAAATAATTGGTGCTGTTGTATGAAAAAGGCTTTTGCACAAAGTGATTCTCTGTAATAACAATTTGTTTCCAGCATCACATACTGTGTTTTCCTTGACTGTTGTTACTGGCTGTCCTAATCACTGCTTCTAAGAGCAGCCAGACAAGGCCATGCCCAGGATTTTTCCAAGAGTTACCACAGGTAAAGAGCCCAAGCAATTGTGTGTTTAAAAACGGCATCAGTGAGGAGGAGAGCATCACCCCTGTCTCCTGTATTCTGTTCTTCACCAGCTGGGGGAATGAAAAGTACACTTTATGCTGAATGTTGAAGGATCAAGTGTGGCTGAAAGCCATGACCTCTTCAGCTTTCTATTTTTTCAAAGGCTCATTCTTTTCCCTGATGTCATTAGTGTTGCTATGGAGTTTCACAGTGCTCCACTTGGAAGCTGTTCATGCAGTAACTTACACATGCACTTAAATGACTTAATGAAATGTATACAAACTTTTATTGAGATGATCTCTGCTTTATTGATTGTCTTCAGTCTGCTTGGTAAGATATAAACACTGGGGAAGACTCAGTCTCTGTCATTTGAGAGTTACAATCAGATCTGGAAGAACAAGTCAGACCAAAATGTAGGCCCCAAGAGCTTTGGCTTAAAGCCCCCAACAAAAATCAAAACCCTCTTGGTCTGAAGGTTGGAGACTGGACACTGGAGTGATGGAAAATGGAACTTGTACTTCAGTCAGTGTCAGAACATACTAGTGCTGAGTTTTTTTGTTTCTGTGTGGGATTTGAGAGGAGGGAATATCAGTATTCCCTTTCCCTGACTGCTCCACAGGTACTTGGGCCACTTCACTTTGGTTCATCGTGTTACAATGCAGTAGGTTACCTGTGAATATTTACTTAGGTTCACAGAGGTACAAGCCAGTTTAAGCTACAGTAAAAGATGTTAAAACTGTTGTCTTAGGTCAAAAGCATGCTCAGAGGCAGCTACTAGGCCTCAGCTGGTACCCAGTGGTTTCTGGTTTATGAATCTGAACTTTGGCCTTCATCTACAGCTCTGTTGAGATCAGTCTCTGCTAAAGAGGTTTGCCAGCAATGTTAACAAAACAGTTCTTGTGTAGACCCATCTTTTACTGAAGGAAAAGTGTATTTGCTATTAAAGTTCACTAGTTCTGTTGAGTGAAATAAGCCAGACCAGCAAAAGGACTTTGAAATTCTCTACTCTTGGGCTTTGTCTGCCAAAGAAATGTCAGTTATACCTAATTAGTTTACTTATAACAGCAAAGGCTCATACTGAAGAGTTGGCCTCATTTTCCATTTAATTCTTATAATTGTTCCACTTGACATTGAACCTGTGAATGGAAAACAGGAGAGATGAGGACATTCACAGAGGGTGTCCCACAGCCCTACCATCCATATTGTTTCAGCAAATTGATCATCCTTCTCTACTGAGTTAAGTAACTTCATTGATTTTAAGAGGGTTTCTCACTTGAAGAAATCTTCATCAGACTCAAACCTTAAAGTTCACTACCACAGACACTCAGAGCTCAGTTTCAGGCTTGGCTACATTGAAGGCAAATCCCATTCACATACAGGAATGCTGTGGTATAATGTGATTTTGTGCATCATATATGCTGACGAAATATCTGAATGCTTAATCAAAACCCTGTAAGAAATAATTCATAATTATATGGATCTTTTATATAGGTCTGTAATCTTAGATTATTGATCTTTAGGTCGTCAAATATTGCATATAATTTACTGGTGAGGTCAGTACTGTGATCTCTAACTTCAGTGTTTTCTGTAGCATGTATTATGGCTCCTCAAGCCTGGAACAAATATTAAATGGGGATCTATTTCTTAGATTTATCATTTTTCTGTTCCCTGTTCCCCTCATTACCAATCTGAGTGCTGAGAATCCCTCAGAGCTCTGGCATTGGTAACTAGCCTGGAGCACATGATGGATTGTAAGGAAAGGCTGGCTGACTAGGTATGGCTCCAGCCACATTGCCATGAGGATGGAGCAGCATAACAAAGACTTTTCAGAAGTCTTTGTCATATTCTTGTGCTACAGAGGCTATCCATCTTATCCAGTGAGACAAAGTCTGTGTTTGGTCACACCCAGGTGCCTTGGCCACCTTCACATGAAGCTGGATTGTAAAGCCAGCATGCGTTCAGAGAAGCGAGGGCTGAGCACACCCAAGGAAGCACCAGCTTTGAAGCCTGGGGTGTACCAGACCTTCTAAAAGCACCCCTGAAGTTTTCTGGTGTTCTTAATAAGCACAGGTAAGGCTGTGGATACTCTCTGTTGCCCACCTGTTGTGATAATGTGCTGTATTAACTCTGGGTTCATGTTTGCCCCTGTTCCCAGCCCTCTCCAGTGAGGTGCTGTTAATGTATTTACTGCTCAGAAGTTTAGAAAAGCTTGTCACAAATTCTGGCTCCACATGGTGCAGTGCACGTTCAGGTAGAGGAGAGGACTAAAGCCTGGCATCACATCCTGCTCTGCCTTTCACTCTGATGGTGATGAACATCAAGTCATTCCTGCCATGGTGAATTACACTTTATATGTTTAAAATACAAATATGTGTATTTATAACTAAGCAATAGTGTTGGGTTGAAATAAGCAATAGAAAGTTGGGTTGGTGAGAGAAGTGCAGAGGAAACATGAGTGGCTTGTGTCAATTCCTGGTGCTTTTTTGAGCAATATCCTTTCAAAAGTAACCTAAGATCAACACACATCCTTAAATCTGATCTCCATCCTAAATTACAGAAAATCTTCATTTGGTTTGGACTCATGCAAATCTCAAATAATAGCATTGGTAGCAGTATTCTGAAAATTACCTGTTGTGGTCTACAGAGGAAATGAAGGTTGTGTTTCTCTCATTAACTCTCTTGTGCCTTCTTTCCAATTATGTTTTATATTAAGCAGTCATCTGGCTTTTAGGCAGCTGAAACAAAGGATTCCCCATGCTGGTTAAATAAAAAGTCCTTTCGTAGTCACAGTATAAAGGAGAGAGCTGAGAAGAAACGGGTCACAGCTAGGGATGCACAACCGCTGGAACTGCCCCCCCTCAGTGAGACTCACTCTGAGTTTCCCAGCTGAGTGGTGAAATGTGTGGAGCTCTGTTTGCCCTTTTGTTTGATGTCCTCTTCATTTCCTGTTTGTTAAGTGATCTGAAAGTAAAACAACCAGCCAACCAACCAAGGGAAAAAACCCCTTTCATAATTTTAAACGGGGCCCAGCTGTGTAAGCTGGCCTGCACAGACACTGCCCAAGGTTGCCAGAAGGGCCTGTGTGTCTCGGACCCTCCTCTCTGTGGGTGCTCAGCCCTTGCAGAGTAATTGCTCTCTCCTTCCTCTGAATGTCTGCCCCCTTTTGAAAGCATCTCTAGCAAGGCACTCAGATTCATTAACTCCTGAGCACAGTCCCTTTTTCATGTCAGTGTCTACCAGAACTAATGCTCCTGGGGACAGGAGAGGCTAAGCGAGGGTACTGGGAGCACGGACGGCAATGTCACATCACTCATCTCTGCAAGTGAAATAGCAGCAGGCAAAGGAAAAGGACTTTGGGGAAAGATTTCCCAAAGCACCTTTTGATATTACTACTGAAGATAAATGACCTGCAGGGACATGACCTGACTGCAGTCACAGCATGACCTGCAGTGGGTGTGTTACAGTCATAATAAATTGCAGAGTATGTCAGTAGTGACCCGTGAATGACACAAAACCAAACCAAAGCTGCCTCACCTTGCCTGCTGCTACAGGAATACAGGCTGTACAAGACCTTGCTTTGAAAGTATTTGCTTTGCTTGAGAGGAGAAAGAAAATGTAGGAAGGGAAACTCAAGCAAGAGGAATCTAAATGTATGTCTGCAACAAATATAAAAGTTAGACTACGTAAAACTAGGTCTCTGCAGACAAGGGGTAGGTAAATACCCCTCAAGCACCCCTAGCTCAAGTGAAAATGGTAGTACGTAATTCCAAATAAAACCTATTACTGTCTGAACCTGGAGTGTATTGACAAAGGCTTCAGTCCTTTCAATAGACTCAATAGTACTTAGTGAAGAGAGGGGAAAAAAATCCCAGACATCTCTGTGCATTCAAACTTTTTTCAAAGAAAGCAGCAGGAGAAATTCAGTGAATTGATCTTTCTCAGCATAACTTTATGAAGGGCAGCATGGTTAAGGAAAAATATGTTTTTCTTTCCAAAAGAAAAATGTCACCTTCTCACCTACCATTCATAATCTCCTAAGTACTTGATTGCTGTGTCTATAGATAGAGGGTTTGAACACACAGAATCATTTTCAGACTGATCCTCTTCAGTGACTTCTAAAAAGCCACTTCATTTTTTTCTTCACCTTTGCCATCTGCAGACGGTTTTCTGGCAGAAAGCGCTATTTAAGAGCTATTTTGTGCATTTGCTGGCAGAAGCTGTTCCAGGCAGCAGACGGTGCTGTCACTCCCTGACCCTCAGCTCGGCAGGGGCAGGGTGCAGGATGGAGCTGGGCACAGGCAGTGGCCCCAGAGGTGCTTGGGGGATGCTTTGTGCTGCAAACTTAATCCCCAGTATATCCCAGCAAGGGGAACCACCTTCCCACGCTGAGGAACGTGAAGCAATCACTGCCAAAATGGGCCAGCATCTCTCCTCCTGGGCCCAGCTCCCCTCAGCCCTAGTGGGACGTGTTTCCCTGTGCTGGCCAGGCCAGGGGCTGCTGGGGTGGCCAGGTCAGGAGCTGCCACACGGTGCTGGCCTTCGGAGGAGCTGGTGCTGCTGTGGGGGGTGAGGGACCTGGGCCACCCCACCTGCGTGCCAGCACGGGCTCGTCACATCCTCCTGGAGAACCTGCTGGGTGCTGGGGGCTCGGAGTGGGCCGCTGGGGACAGCCCTGCTGGCCTCTCTTCTCCACCCAAATGTCCCTGCTGGGGAGCAGCCCTGTGCTGTGCAGGGCCAGGGAGCTGCCCCTGAAGCCAGCGCCTGCAGTAGAAGGAGAATCATGCAGGAATATCCCTGCTTTGCTTCTCCCAGGCTGCCAGCACTCGTCACTCAGGGACTTACAGCATTTCTGCTGTTCCTTCTGTGTGGTCTGCAGTGACCTGGGACTAGGAATAAGCAGCCATAGAATCCTGATACCACTGAACGTGGAAACTTAAAATACTGCCACTTGATCTTGTGATTGCATCTTCTCTTTCCTTAATTCCCATAGGAAGACAACATAATGGCAGTGGAAGGTTACTTGTCTGTTATTCCTCCCAAAGCTTTCTTTCTGCTTAAAAATATGTAATTAACTCCTTCATTTTGTTCTTGCATTCTCACTCTTAGAAGGGTCCATGCTTGGCTTGGAGCTTGGGCAAGGTATATCTTTTCTAGTAAGCACTGTATCTGTCTGCACTGTGAACTTCCAGACATCTTTCTCAAAATCATTCAAAACAGCCCAACTCTAGCATTAAATACTTGGGGTCTTCCTCAGCTTCATTCTCTCTTCATATTTTATTTAAAATTCTTAATTCCAGGAAATCCAGATAAGATGAAAGCTTTCAGCTCTAATATTCTAGATGCAAATCTTATTAAATTCCAAGCCCCAAACCAAGCAACGCTGTAAACTGGGAATAAAACTGAAATGAAATTAAGACAATCAATCACTCTCAAGTCAGTTCAGCAGCTCATACAGACACATTCTCTGTGGTCTCATCACATTCATATTAATGGACAAATTTGCTTCTTGCATTATATTCCATATATTACACTGTGTAATTAGAAGCTAATTGGAAGCAGTAGGCAGCATGCCAATATTTGTAGCATTCAGATATCATTCAGAGCTTCAGTATTTGAGGAAGAACCTGATTATTTCTCAGAGACATTTCTAACTATGTCTACAAAGAAAACATTGTTTTGGAGTCTCCTTGCTCTAAACTTCTAGATTCTGGGAAGCTGAACTGCTTGCACATGCAATGCTAAGGGACTGTATTTGTAATTAAAATAAATCCTTAAGGATCACAGATCTATCCAACAAAGGTAATTGTCAGGCCTGCCAGCTGCCTCAGGCTAACCTCAGCATTAAGAAACTTCAAAAGTGTGGTTATCCTGGCCTTGAGGAAAGGCTTAAGGGTGGTACTTGGAAAAGACAGCATGAAAAAAACCACAACCTTGCACACTTCTCCAAGCCAAGGCTGCCTGTGACTGATTGCAGGTACAGGAACTGTGCCAGTTCACAGGTTGTAGTAAAGACTTAAAATTTGACTGGGGAAGCTGAATGTGGCATTTTGTAAAAAAGAGAAGCTCATCCCTTCAAAGGAGCAAGCATTCACGAGAGCAGCTGATGGAGAATGCTTGCCACACATTAAACATCCCCAGGTAGCTGTTCCCAGCTAACTATGCCCTCAGTTATGTTTGTTACTGTTGAATAGCAAGGATTCTCCCTGTAAAGACAATTCTCATCCTAAAATAGCAATCTGTTCTCTCTAGGCATGGCCTGTTTTATATTCTTGGCTCCAGCTGTGAGCAAACAATGTCTGCAGTGCAAAGCTTGGAGCCCTTTAGTGGGGCAGAACATTTGAAAATTCGGTCACCTGTCTGCAAACATCTGCTTGTGCAGTAGCACCTTGTCAAGGAGCAAGTGCAGCTTGTTCAGTCACTGGTTATGAACTCAATATTTTTCAGCTCTATTCCCATTTAGCATGCTTTTCCTGACCTCATCCCCTTGTTTGTTGGGTGTGTCTGTACCTTTGCTGCCCAAAGGCCTTGTAGCTGTGTCTTCCTGCTTTGATTGAGAAGTAATTGTTCATTTCCTGTGGTGGTCTCTCACTTCTTATTCCCATAGTTATTGTTTCCACTTCTCATGGGAGTTATCAAAACTCGGAACAGAGAAGAGAAAATTATGATGACCTCTAGCTTCAAATTTTCTCCAAATGGTTTCCCAGGTTACAATGTATGAAAATTTTTGAGTCTGTAGAGTTTTCATGAAAAAAAGCTGTCTGAATATTTGTGACTGACAACTGTTACCATGCCAGAAATCAGCCTACATAATTCACCCTTCTTGACTGTGAATAAGGATGCTCATCTTTAGCTGCGTTCCAAACAGGTTCATGGCAATGGAGGAAAAGCTAGAGAAAAATATATATTCTAGAAAATAAGTCAACCTCCCTGTTTCAAAATCTCAAAGCAAGAGAAAGAAAGGAAAAGGAGAGACTCACTTAGAACTCTTCCAGAAGCAGTCAAGGATTGTCACTTTTTCTTTTCAGAGATTAGATTACACTTGGCTAGTAAAATCTTTGGCTTAGTAAAACCTAAGCATTGGAGACAGTAAAAGTCCAGACTTTTTGTCATAATGTCAGTAGTTCAAACAGCCTGATTTTTCTTCTGACATTTTCTCCCTTCTTATGGACAACTAAGAAAAGTTGCCAAAGTTTATTGTCCAAATTGGCTCATTTAACCAGAAGTGAGTATCTCACCCACACAGTAAACCACTGGGATTTCCTCTAATGTAGTAGATGTCAGCTATAACAAGCCCCTATTAATAATTAATTGAGTTCCTATTGGGACTGCCTGAACAATTTTATTTGCTTCTTGTCAAGTACAGCGCAGTGCTGTAGCCTAATTTAGTCTGACTGTACCATGGGCAAGTACTTCCACCCTGTGTGATGTGACCACCCTTTCACCATTTTCTCTGTGCCATGGTTTGAAGTCTTTAAAGAAGGGCTCATAAATGCAGATTTGTCATATTGCCTTGAAATTGTGAGGGCTTAAAACCATTGGGATGGCAAGACACATGTGTGTGTTCTGGCAGGGTGTTGTAATACCTCTGATGACCTTGCTCTGGTAGCACACCTTCCTCCAGCTGAGAGTGCCACAGAACTCGTATTTCCTCTGGGGCTCAGGGCTCCAGGATTGTTCCAGGGAGTCAGTCAGGGGTTCGGGTGCATGGTGTCTCCTCTGGCCTTGCTCAGCTCAGGATAAGTGGTGTGTCATGGAGTTACTTTACCTTTAAGGGAGTTGGAGTTGCTGGGAAGTACTTAGAGTCTTTTCTCCTGACCAATTATCGGTCATTGCTGGGAATTGACAGCAGTTTAGGCCATTGAAAAGTGGGATCAACTTGTGAACCCTACCTTAAAATGTAAAAGCAGAGCTCTCTGGGTTCTCTTTGTTTTCTGGCTGTGGAGGGTGGCGGAGCTCCAGGCCTCCT